TGTGTCGTCAACTGAGAGTTAGCGGGTGGGCATCTGCTGCAGTCCTTTGCAAAAGTATCAGAAGTGACATGGAAGATCGAAGGTCGGGAACTCTACGACGCTGCCTGGCAGGGGGACTTTGATGGGGCGTTTGATGCGCTGGAGGCCCATGCAGAGCAGTTGCTTCAAAAGAGGTTCGCCGTCCCGATGCTCCCTTCAGGCAGGTGCAGACCCTTATGCAAGGTACGGGGTACGGAAGATCACCGCCAGCCGCACAGAGGGTGGGCTTTGTGAATGCAATGCCTCGAATTGTTCTATAGCCGAGACCTTGCACGTGGCTGCAAGAACTGGCAACAGGCAGATCATGGAGATGTGCAAGTCTTAGCTCAGTGACGCTCCGTGAATGAGGGTTTGATCGGGAACTTGCAAGGTTGCTGAGATGGGAGAAGGCGCCAAAGCCGCAGCTCGATGTGCAGAACAAGGCAGCCGAAGCGTATCAGTGGTCGGCAATTGTCTGAGCCTTCACGCAGCATCTGTGCAAGGACGGCGAGACTCCACTCTTTGGAGCGGTCCTGGAAGGCCACGTCGGAACGACCCAGGCGGCATGACGTGTGATACAGGATGCATGAAGATTCGTGAAGCGGCATGCAACATTCTGACATCTGCTCCGAATCTTGGCTCAGGGGGTGACTGTCTAGGTTGCCTGTCGATTACCTGTAGATCGTGCCTTCGCACGATGGAGTCCGTGCAGCAGGAGCAGACCTCATCCAGTCCGCAATGGGTGCTGCGAAACACATTCATAGAAGTCCTTGATGATGCTTCTGATTCAGATGCCTTCTCGAGCGGAGTGATGCGTGCGCACTCCGACTCCGTTCTTTACGTTGGCTATTCGCGCCGCCACGCGGCTGAGCCGGAGCGGGAGGACAACGATGAGAAGGCATCGCAAGAGTCTCCAAATTCCTCCGGGGAGTCTATGGAATCCGAGCTTGACAGTTGGAGTGATGCGGAAACGAGCCCAGACTTTACCGAAGGCGAAAGGTCTTTGCCACTGCCCTGCTATCATCACATCGAGGATTCTCCTAGTGGAAGGAATTCGCCCCGAGCAGGGCAGGACGTCCAGCATGTCGCAAGAACGCCAAGTCCAAGGTGCCAGGGATGGGCTAAACTCCTAGAAGCGATTTCAGAATAATCGTGTTCAAGCACATGAACACTATCTGTTTCAACGCTTCTGTCGTTAAGACACACCGTGTGTTTAAACACGATGAGACGCTTCAGGAGATGTGACTCGTTTGTGCGAGGCCAAGCGATGTCCTGGGACTAGGAGGATTTGCTGGCAACCCGTGGGGTGTAATCGTGTTTAAACACCTATGTGTTTAACGACGTTTATGCGATGCGGCAGACGTGAATTGTTTGTGAGACTGCGTAAGGTGCTGGGGGCCCTGTATCGTGGCCCGCGAGTTTCAAACATGTTGAAACACCATTTGTTCCAACACATTTCCTTCTTTGAACGTTACAGGAGACTTGAAGTGTTGGTGGGAGGCCTAGTTTGGTCCGGGGAGGTTCTGGCAGGCAGAGCAAGTGAGTAGGTCAGGGCGAAATGCCGGGAAACGGAGGGCAGGATATCTGCAGTGAGCATGAGTACTACGTCCTAAGTTGAGAGGAGAAGTGACTCAAGTGACAAAAGCCTTCTGAAGCCATGCTGTCAGCCAGATTCTTACTTTCAGGGGCTCTCATGAAGCCATACTGTCAGAAAGAATGTTTGTTGCAGCTTACGGGCTTTAGCTTGAACGTCTGGTTGGTTTGAACTTGTTGAGCACAGGGTTCCGAAAATGGGGACATGTTTAAAGATTTGCTGTTTTGAGCTGGGTTGGTTTTAACCGTTTAGGCACGTGCCCTCGCCCAACCCTGCAAGGCGCATGGATTCGTCCAGCGCCAGCTGTGCAGCGACGCCTCCGAAGCAGGGAGGTCGCCCCGGTCCCATGCCGGGTCTTCTACCGCCAACCTCCAGCCATGCTTCAGACAGGGGTGTCTCGACAGACGAGCTGCAGAGGCTGATGGCCGAGGTGGCCAGGTTGGAGCAGGAGAACGAAATTCTTCGCCGGATGGCACAAGAGCCGGGAGTGAGCCAAGGCACTGCACAAGCTGCAAGCCCCTCCCAGCAAGAGACCGCCACAGGTTGGACGGCAGTTTTGATGCCTGCCGGCTTGGTACCGGGCTCGGGCAGCAGTTCCCAGATTCAGATGCAGGAGGCCGCTGAGACCTGGAGAAACGCAGATCTGATGGTTCCCACCAAGGCGCCCCGGCGACGGCATGCACGCAGCCGGAGGAGCAACGTGGTTTCGGAGGCAGAACTTAGCCATCCAAGAGGGCAAAGCAAGGCGAAGAGCGCCGGGTGTGACATGCCCATGGAAGAGTGGACAACAGTGATGCTGCGTAACTTACCAAACAACTACAATCGCGCGATGATTCTTGCGATGCTCGACAAAGAGGGCTTTGAAGGAAAGTACAACTTCCTGTACTTGCCGATCGACTTTCGGACGCGGGCTTGCATGGGCTATGCCTTCGTGAACTTGGTGGATCCTACGTATGTCCCGGACTTCTGGGCCAAATTCAGCGGCTACTCCAACTGGGTGGTACGGAGCAAGAAGCTTTGCGGAGTGAGCTGGAGCGAACCACATCAAGGTCTTGAGTCTCATGTGGAGCGTTACCGCAACAGCCCCATCATGCACGAGAGTGTGCCGGATGACTACAGGCCAATCGTGCTGCAGAACGGCGTCCGAGTGGCCTTCCCAGAGCCGTCGAAGTCTTTGCGACCCCCTCGCAATCGTCACCACACAAGCATCCAAGTGGAAGGCAAGGCGCCGGGCTCGAGGCAGAGGCGTCAAACGAGCGCAGATGCTCCAAGAAAGCGTTCCGGACGCATTGGGAACCCACGTCCGGGCCCAAACAGGTAAACTCGGAGGTGACTTGCACAAAAATCTTGCACTGATTTTCGGTTTTGCCTTTTGCAGGCACCCAATTCGAGACCTCGAACTCGATTCGGTGCCTGTTTTACCCCTGTTTAAACCCAAGGATTTACCCAAAGTTTTACCCAGTGTTACTCTGCTCGCGCTCAACCTTGTTGTCCGCGAAGCCGTGTTTGGCCGGCTTGTACAGCATCTTGCCCGCACAACACATGCTGCGAGCTAAAAAGCCCAGCTGCTCATTGCTCCTAAGTAGAGAGGGAACAATGCTGGCGCGTACTTGGCGCCCTCGCAACATGCACGTTTAGTTTGCGGGAGCAAAAAGGGCGACAGCTCTTTTCAAATGCCCGTGAAGTGCTTGAGCCGTTTCAGCATCGCGAGGCGGAATCCTAAACTCCTGACATCCCTTAGGTGCTCGTGGATGCGAAGGCAGATGTCAACATCAAAGACAACGAAGGCGTCCCCGTAGTTGGCCGTTACAAAGCTTCAAGTTCCGGCACCGGAGCTGGAATCAAGATCCAAGCAGGTCGAACAGTGCTGTCCATCGCTCAGCAACGCGAGCGGCAGGCAAGCTTGAAGAGAATGAATAGATGACGTCAGCAGGAATTCACGTTGAGAAATGTTTATGATCCAGTCCTGGTGTGAGGCTTGTCAGTTTCCGAATCTATGATATGCTGGTGCACAGGTTAGGTTCAATCTCTGAATCGCTTTGCAGGACTTCATCGACTTTCTAATTGCAAGCGGTGCAGTCGGTTGAGGAGAAAAAGACGCGTTCCGGGCCTGCTGAAGCCCTTGTGCCGACTTTCACAGCCGCGGCGACAGCAAAATCCCTGGACTTCAGGAAGCATGTTGTCTTCGGAGAAGTCTTCAGCGGGTTGGACTTGCGAGGATCTAAGTGAGACGGGCTGTACCCAGCAAACAGCTCTTGCGGGTAAATTCTGTTTGAGATTGGATGAGCTGGAGAAGCTCGAGACGAACGAGGAATGCAGGCATGGCGTTGCAGAGAAACTCGTTGGATCTATCGACTGGCAGATGCGGGGGAGGCCCTTGGTGGATTGCATCGTCGTGGACTGCGGCGCAGATCAGCGTCGCATCACGGAAGGCACTGCACCCTCAGCCAAGAACCCCAGAACCGCTGGAACCTGGAGGCTAGCCGCCCAGCCCAGTCGAGCGCCCAAAGATGGTCTTGCAAGGTTGAAAAGCATTTGCACCGATTGCCGTGCGTGATACGCGTGCAGTCCTGGCTCAGCATCCATGCCTGGCATTAATCTTCGTGTCCAGTGTCGTGCTGTGAGGAGTTTGGCATTGCTGCATGTTGGTCTGTCAGGGTAAAGGCAGTCAAGCGATGCGAGCTGTGGAGTGTGTGACTTATACACGGACGCTGCGTGACCGGTCCAAACAGGTAGACAACATGCTGTCTAAATTGTACAGTACAGTGCTTGCAGTGCAACACAAACCAGTGCAGCGGTGACTGCTTCTCTGTTGCACATCTTGTGAAGTGGCAGATCGCAGAACGAGCACCGTGCTGGTCCTCCGAGAGCAGAGAACTGTTTTCGCTATGGCAGAGGGAGCTGAGCAATGTTGTAATAGCAGGATTGCTTGGTAGGGGCGCAGAGGATGTGCATTGCCTTGCTATGTCTGCAGAGGCCCCTTCGGCGGCTGCATCCCATGAACTCAACGATTGATACTTGTTTTGTTTCGGGGCAGTCGTGCGATAGAACCACTGTCGACGCATGCCGGGACATGATGTGACGCTTTTTCGGCTTTGCAGCTTGGCTTGAGCGTCAACATCTGTATCCATGAGCGCTACCAGGGCTTCACGTCTGTAGCCTCCTTTTGATTTCAACGAAGACGACAAGTTCCCACAAGTCTTGTAGCGGAAGTCGCGATGGCGGATCCGGAGCGAGAATGGGCCCGGGCCCCTTGGTGCCGGGCCGTAAAACGTGTTGCGAAGCTTGTGTAAAGACAATGAGGTAGTGGACTAATTATCGCCTGAGTTTTTGGATCGTGCTAAGCACGAGGAATTGGCCGAGGTACCGCCTGAGCGAATCGAAGAACTTTATGCGAGGACTGGAGCGACAGCACAGCCAGGTGAATTGCCACGATGCGATTTTGGTGTAGGTGTCATTGTGGTTTCGGTAATGTGGCAGAAGCATGAGGGCGAACTGCTGTGACGCCTGCCATTCCGGCCATGGAAATCCTTCACGGATAGCGGGCATTTGTAACTTGCCGTAGCTGCTTGTGGGAGTTGGTGAATGTCCAAGCTGTTTTTAGCCGGCAGCCTCACCTGATGGATGGTTTTTCAGTCGTGTGCACTGATGTTGAATTTTCCAGTCGCTTTCTGGCTTTTTGTAAACTCGTCTTTGAAAATGGAGTGGACAGAGAAGATGACCTCACTGAGAGTTGCTGGTGGACTCTGGATCACGGGAGAGTGCCTTGCACAACTGGAAGTTAACCCTCCCATGGGCAGCTAAGGTCTGCTGTACCTTAAGATGCAAGGCATGGTGTCAGGTGTGCAGTCAAACCTCAAGTAATCGTAAGTAATCTTGGTTTCTCACTGCTCCATCCCCTCCCCAATACTAATCAGCCCAGGGTCCCTGTTACCCCGATCACAGAGACAGAGAGGGACGGAGCATCACGCTTCCAAGCACGCTCTGGCACCGCAGTTCCCAAGTCTCCATCTCTGCGGCTTTCGGTTCCACAATCCTCCAGCTCTATGCGCGGCGCAAGGCATAAAACTGAAGCGCGGTAACGCTTTTGCATTTTCGAGTACACCAAGGCTTGAAACAGTGCAAAATGGAGCCCATTACAGTCCAGGGCCAGTTGCAGCAGCCATGGGGCATTTGAAACGGCATTTGGCATCTCGGCCTGGTGACTGTGCAGGACAGCTGGGAATCAGTTTGCAGGCATCAACCGCCCCACAAGTGGGCCCCGGTATGAGGCACACGGCTCTCTCACTCCAGCTACGCGAAGATGTGGAGTGATGCCTGATTGTCCGTCAACCTGTGTGAGGCAGACTTGGTGAAGGGCGCGGCTCCGCTGCAGCCTTCTCCTCAGTAGCAGTAGTCGGATAGCGCAGCATGCGGTTACTGGAAAAGGCTAAGCCTGAGACGCCCCTACGATGCCCGCAGAAATCCAACTACTAACGAGTCTAACGAGACCTGACCTTGCCAAAGCTGTGATTCAGCATATTCAACGCCGCCATTTCAGGCAGCAGTGATGCGGTAGAGTATGGTGGCATGGAGCATGTCCGCGTCCTCGCCGACGATTTGCGCTCGGTCAATGAGCATCGCAGGATGCAGTCAGATGTCAGCCGTGCTCGGCTCTTCAAAGCCCATTGCCTCTGCCGCCTTCGCGAAATAGTCGAAAGCTCTGCGATTCACTGCGGAGACTTCTTAGAGGTGCTCCACCGAGCAGAACGTGCTCTAATTGCAGATGCCTCCTGCGGGTCAACGCTCACTCACCAGATAGATCAGGCCTTGGAGCGCTTCTGTACTGATCTTCGGAGGCTTGAGGAAGAAGCTCTCGAGCGGGATCGCCGAAGGATGGCTGATTTGCCCTTCCAGAACATAGTTGGCGCAAAAGCTTCTCCTCACAGAAAACTGATTACCGTCCGCATCCGGACCTTCAGCGGGGCAGAGTTTCAAGTCAGATGTGCCTTGGATCCATCGTTGAAAAATCGCAGATGCAGGACAAGTGTGTACCAGCATGATTTCTGCGTGTGTGCTAAATTGCTGCTGAAGTTCTGGTATCACGGATCTTCTGCCCTCAGGTGGCTTGGACGAGAACCTGCTCTGCCTCAAAGAATACATCCATGCAAGCGGTGGCCCACGAGCGCGGGACCAGCAACTGGTGTGGTCGCGTAGCGAACTTGCATGGATTCAAAGCTTGGAAACGCGTGCAAGTGATTCCTTCTCCTTGTTCTACCTGGGTATCACAGAAGCTTCCCGTTCTTGGAAGCCATTTTCAACAGATTTCAATTGCAGCTAGTTGTGTTCGGCAGTTGCATTAATCTCTCCATGAGCACAAGCAGTTCATGGCAAGCTTTCAGGCAGAGTTCCAATGCTCAGCACACTTGAATGCAGATGGTAGTGTGATGTATTACCAAACCCCGCTTTTGCGAATGCAGCATCTGCTTTAGACTCTAGACACGTTGAGGATGGGGATTCTGCGACCTTGTACTACGTGCGTTTCTGTCATCAATGCAGAGGCACTACATGGTGTTGACAAACACGGCAGCAACGGCAGTAGCGATACATGCATCGCGGGGTGAGGGGTGGACTCGGCTGAAGGGACACCGACGGTGGCCATGCGGACGCCTTCCTTATGAGGATGCATGGCTTTTTGCATGTGCCCCTGCTAGGCGCTTGCCGATGCGTAGAATGTCACGGTCGTGGATCGCGTAGCGCCTGTAGCGCTTGTGGACAAGTTCGCGCCAGCTGTCTGCAGTGTGCGGGGCCGTGCTCCGTCTGCACATAGAATCAGGGTGCTTATGTGGTTCATGTCTGTTTAGACCACACTTCTGTGCATGCATGTGATGTTGCACGGCTCGTGTTTTCTCAGGTGCGTCTGTCCGAACTGTCACGGGCAGGCGAGCTTGTGCGGCGGGATGTGCCAAGTGTGCGGAGAATCGAGTGTGGCATGTGATTCGTAGCGTGGATCTCATGCGCCTTCTCTCAAAGAGAGTGCTGCATGTGTTTGTAGAGGCGACTCTGGGTACAGCCATGCTGGGAGTTCAGTTACCGCTGGCTTTCTAGTTAGACTGGAGAGAGCCAAGCATTGGTTCAGCTTCAGAACGTAAAACAGCCTAATTGGTAAAGTTTTTCCAAGAGCTTAGGGCCTTTCCAGAAGAAGTTGCAGTGCTTGTCACATCTGACAGCAGCTAGCCTCCATGTACCATGATCGGCGCACAAACTCCTTGTGCTCCTAGTAAGGCTGTACTCGCTCGCAACTCCCAATGGCTGGAAAGTGGGCATTCTTCTCGAGGCAGGCGGCCTGCGCATGCGGGGTGTGTCTATGGAGCCAAGCATCCTCCGTTACCATCAGGAGCTCGGCGTGAGCTACGATGCCCACGTGGTCAACATAGGAGCCGTATGCTGGCGGCTTTTGATTCTGTCTGTTCTTGTTGCACACTCCAAGCAATCGGAAGGGTAAGGAAACTGTCACGGCGAATTCTGTCTGTTCTTGTTGCACACTCCAAGCAATCGGAAAGGTAAGGGAACTGTCACGGCGAAT